GGTGACTGCATACATGCTCATGATGACTGCATACATCCTCATGATGACAGCATACATGCTCATGATGACTGCGTACATCCTCATGATGACTGCATACATGCTCATGATGACTGCATACATGCTCGTGATGGCTGGATGCATGCTCATGATGACTACATACATGCTCATGATGACTGCATACATGCTCGTGATGGCTGGATGCATGCTCATGATGACTGCATACATGCTCATGATGACTGCATACATGCTCATGATGACTGCATACATGCTCATGGTGACTGCATACATGCTCATGGTGACTGCATACGTGCTCATGGTGACTGCATACATACTCATGGTGACTGCATACATACTCATGATGACTGCATACATGCTCATGATGATTGCATACATACTCATGGTGACTGCATACATACTCATAGTGACTGCATACATACTCATGGTGACTGCATACATACTCATGGTGACTGCATACATACTCATGGTGACTGCATACATACTCATGGTGACTGCATACATACTCATGGTGACTGCATACATACTCATGGTGACTGCATACATACTCATGGTGACTGCATACATACTCATGGTGACTGCATACATACTCATGGTGACTGCATACATACTCATGGTGACTGCATACATACTTATGGTGACTGCATACATACTCATGGTGACTGCATACCTACTCATGGTGACTGCATACATACTCATGGTGACTGCATACATACTCATGGTGACTGCATACATACTGATGGTGACTGCATACATACTCATGGTGACTGCATACATACTCATGGTGACTGCATACATACTCATGGTGACTGCATACATACTCATGGTGACTGCATACATACTCATGGTGACTGCATACATACTCATGGTGACTGCATACATACTCATGGTGACTGCATACATACTCATGGTGACTGCATACATACTCATGGTGACTGCATACATACTCATGGTGACTGCATACATACTCATGGTGACTGCATACATACTCATGGTGACTGCATACATACTCATGGTGACTGCATACATACTCATGGTGACTGCATACATACTCATGGTGACTGCATACATGCTCATGATGACTGCATACATGCTCATGATGACTGCATGCATGCTCATGATGTCTGCATACATGCTCATGATGACTGCATGCATGCTCATGATGTCTGCATACATGCTCATCAGTGCGGGTAGGGTGGAGATCTAATCAGGAATGGCGCCAGGGAAGTTGTTATTGTGCAGGTCGCTGCACGGCAGAGCACAGGATAGAGATAGTTTCTTTTCAGTCGGCTAAAAAGCACAGAGCTTGTAGTCGACTCTAAGGCAGAGCAGGGGAACAGAGGCAGTTGCATCGATCCATTTTCATCAATCTCACTTCTTTCAAGATTAGCTCGAGAAGCATCCACACGGGCGCGTAAGTAATATTGTTGAGGGCTGCAGCGTCACTTTATCAGACTCAAGGGGGCATTGCAACATCGTTATCTTGACAGGAGCGGAGCTTCACTGCCTTGCATGCAGCAAGGCGAGGAGGACAGTCAGAGCATGGCATGGAGAAGGGAGAGCCGCATGGCGCTATGAGTGAAAAAATAACACGTGCAGATGCAACAGCAGGGTGGGCGAGGCAATGGGGTGGCTGACAGGATATCGAGGGTGGAGATGGTGCTGAGGGCAGACTGCTGTCCACAGTGAACCCGTTGACCGAAAGGCTCCTGCACATGGTTACAGGGAATGGAATGGACCACTGGCGATGCGTTATGTGCCCCACTGAGTGCTACGGACAACAAGATACACATGCATGGGATAGCCTTGGTAAAAGCAGAACCCAATATTCTTGCATGGTGCAGTGCTTAGTGCTAACGCACAAGAATGCATGCATGCACACAACGCCCTGTACATAGTCCGCGCTGCACCACAGCAATCCCCCTCCCATTCGTCTTTCAATACTCATGTGTTAGAATGTTGCATATGCTAGTTAATACTACTGTAAGTGATACACCCAATGTGGTACACTTTGGCTCAAGTAGCCCCAACCGATTTTGGTTGAGTGCTTCCCAACATTTTTGGACCGTATTTGATGGGGGGATCCCAAATAATGACTGGGCCATCCAATCAATTATTGCCCCCCCCATCCCCCAATAGTGTTGGCCAATCATTGCGTGGTCAACCTAATTGACCCACCAATGATGGTGTGGGCACTCATCCAATCTGCCCACCGTTTCCTTTCCTATGTTAACCTATCTCTCATTTATCACAATCATAACTTGAGACTCTTTCACTCTGCACACGCAGTGGCCCCATGCCAGTACACCCGCAACCACTAACCCTCTACCCTCTTCGACCCAGTGACACCCCTCAGCAATTGAGCCTGCCCAGATCTCTCAGTGCAGTGGATATATTACAGTGTGGCGAGTTGGTTGAGGTGCGACAGATAAGGGACTCAGGCACGGATCAGCTCAGCCAGTTCTGCGCAGATCACTCACATCAGGTTGGTCAACAAGCTGATCAACTCAGCCGGTTCCTCCAGAGGAGAGATGGTCAAGAAGGGATCCGAGAAAGGGAGAGAGCATGGGACTAACTGGCATGTGACGCAAACTCATGCAATGAAACAGGGACAGAGCCAAGGAGTTGTGGGATGGACTAGGTAGGAGGGGTAAGGGTGGTACTGACAGGTAGGTGACACTGAAGGAGGTTGCTCATGTCATTTGGAGATGTTCAGATGATTCACTCTCGGCTTGCTGCATGTGTGGCGCACACATGTAGAAACATGGGGATCGATGGGATACACGAAATGGGGTTGGATGGGGTTGGACGTATAAGGTTGGGGCAAGGAAAATGAACGATTAGGAGAGGGAGAGGGAGGGGAGACGTGGAAGGACTACAGATGGGGCAATGTACTGAGGTGAGGAGAGGGATGGCTGGGACGTTGATGGTGCGTCCCATCTGCCGCACTGCACGCACGCACATGCGCTGGAGCAGCACTCACATTCGCTGGAGCAGCATTCATATGCGTTGGAGCAGCACTCACATGTGCTGGAGCAGCACTCACATGCGCTGGAGCAGCACTCACATGCGCTGGAGTAGCACTCACATGCGCTGGAGCAGCACTCACATGCGCTGGAGCAGCATTCACATGCGCTGGAGTAGCACTCACATGTGCTGGAGCAGCACTCACATGCGCTGGAGCAGCACTCACATGCGCTGGAGCAGCACTCGCATGCGCTGGAGCAGCACTCACATGCGCTGGAGCAGCACCCACATGCGCTGGAGCAGCACTCACATGCGCTGGAGCAGCACTCACATGCACTGGAGCAGCACTCACATGCGCTGGAGCAGCACTCACATGCGCTGGAGCAGCACTCACATGCGCTGGAGCAGCACTCACATGCGTTGGAGCAGCATTCACATGCGCTGGAGCAGCATTCACATGCGCTGGAGCAGCACTCACATGCGCTGGAGCAGCACTCACATGCGCTGGAGCAGCACTCACATGCGCTGGAGCAGCACTCACATGCGCTGGAGCAGCACTCACATGCGCTGGAGCAGCACTCACATGCGCTGGAACAGCACTCACATGCGCTGGAGCAGCATTCACATGCGCTGGAGTAGCACTCACATGCGCTGGAGCAGCACTCACATGCGCTGGAGCAGCACTCACATGCGCTGGAGCAGCACTCACATGCGCTGGAGCAGCACTCACATGCGCTGGAGCAGCACTCACATGCGCTGGAGCAGCACTCACATGCGCTGGAGCAGCACTCACATGCGCTGGAGCAGCACTCACATGCGCTGGAGCAGCACTCACATGCGCTGGAGCAGCACTCACATGCGCTGGAGCAGCATTCACATGCGCTGGAGCAGCATTCACATGCGCTGGAGTAGCACTCACATGCCCTGGAGCAGCACTCACATGCGCTGGAGCAGCACTCACATGCGCTGGAGCAGCACTCACATGCGCTGGAGCAGCACTCACATGCGCTGGAGCAGCACTCACATGCGCTGGAGCAGCACTCACATGCGCTGGAGCAGCACTCACATGCGCTGGAGCAGCACTCACATGCGCTGGAGCAGCACTCACATGCGCTGGAGCAGCACTCACATGCACTGGAGCAGCATTCACATGCGCTGGAGTAGCACTCACATGCGCTGGAGCAGCACTCACATGCGCTGGAGCAGCACTCACATGCGCTGGAGCAGCACTCACATGCGCTGGAGCAGCACTCACATGCCTCACGTACCAGGGAGACAACGCTGCGTTGCCTTGCCATGAGCATCACATGTGACGCCCTGCACGGTTGAGCAGTCACTGCTGCCCGACCACGCCTGCCAGCCGCCCCCAAGCTGCCCCCATGCCGCCAGCGCCTGCGGAACAGCTTGACTGCCAGCGAAGGCCGGAGAGGGTTGGACGCAGGGGGTGCAGCCACGGGCTCACGGAGGTCAGCGGGCACGGTGGAGTGTGGGGGGAGGGAATCCACATGGGGAGGGGCATGGGGGCACGCAGGGACCGGAAGAGGGTTGTGCGACAGATGAGTGAGGGTTGTTGGGAGAGGGGATGAGAAGAGGGAGTGGAGGGAGGAAAGGGAGGGAAAGGAGGGAAGGCAGGGTGATAACAGGGTAGTAGCATAGGAAGGGGGGCATGGAGAGGCAAAGAGGGGGCATGGAGAGGCAAAGAGGGGGCATGGAGAGGCAAAGAGGGGGCATGGAGAGGCAAAGAGGGGGCAGGGAGAGGCAAAGAGGGGGCATGGAGAGGCAAAGAGGGGGCAGGGAGAGGCAAAGAGGGGGCAGGGAGAGGCAAAGAGGGGGCAGGGAGAGGTGGAACAAGGATGTTAAGGGTGAGTTGTGCGTTCAGGAGAGCGATTGACCGTTGCAGGACATGCGCAATGGCTAGAGCGCTTCTGAAGAACGCGGTGAAAGAGAGTCACAGTGGCATTGAGAATCTTTGCATGGAAAATCTCACACCACCCGGGCATGCCGCCGCCCCACCGCCCCATACCTTCCCATTCCGTTGCATCACCCCGTACCACCCCATTCCCATACCACTCCATGCTGCCTCACCACCCGCTCGGGCGCACTCACAGCCTGCCGTCTGTATTTGCCACACCGCCGCCAGCATGCAGAGCGAGCAGAAGCAGGTGAGCAGCAGCAGTGGGAGCATGGCGGGGCAGGAGATGGGTCTGCGCTTAGTAAGAGCGGCAGGGGGGAACGATAGGGAAGGGGGAGGGGAGTTAATGAAACCGGGAGAGGGGAGGGGAAGGCAGAAGCGAGGCAGAGGGAGAGCTCTAGGATGCAGGAGAGAGCGAGCACCTCCACTCCCCATGACACCACCCCCATTCCCCCCACCTCTTTTTCATTTCCTTCCCCCCTCGTAGCACATACCTGTCAGGGCTTTATTCTTTGCTTAGGTTGGCTTATGCGTTCTTACCTTGGTTCTTTACCATTGACTTTGCTGTACCACTTGTATTCAATGACAAAGACAGTTCGACAGTTGGGGGGGTGTCCATAGGGGGGTTGACTCAGTCGCACTGAGCGACGATACACTGCGCAACAATACACTGCGCAATGATACGCTGCGCAACGATACACTGTGCAATGATACACTGCGCAACGATACACTGCGCAACGATACACAGCGCAACGATACACAGCGCAACGATACACAGCGCAACGATACACAGCTCGAAGATGCACAAAGCAATGATGCGCTCCCCAAGCGACAAGGTACAAGCACATACGCGGCACGTCCGTAAAAGCAGCCTCACGGCACTTAGCTCTCCCACCGACGCAGCCCCCCTAGGCATCGCGTGCTGTCAGGTCCGCAGTGCGCCTTGCGTGGGGGAATGAGCTCTCTCGCGCTCGCTGTCATGCCACTGGGAACGCCCGCCCACCTCAGCTTCAGCTACGCCGCTACGCGTGAAACGCCGCTGCGTGCTCGCCGTACTAACCGCCACCACAGCAGGACATGGCAAGCACGCAGCCGAGCTGCGCTACTACGATCATCCGCTTTTGCGTCCAGGAGCCAAACTAAACCACGGGTTTGGCCCCGCCATATGCCACGCCATCAGGTCTCGGTGACTCTACAAAATTCACAACGCCACATACCATGCCCAAATCTCGGTTTTCCCCATCTTTGCACAATAACCTTTGCACGAGCAATGACTAGGGTTATGTGAAACAGTGTTTAGGAGGGTAAGCAGTGCTGAACCTTTGCTGTAGGATAGGTGAAAAATGTCTCCCCTTCCCCATTGTCTCTATAGCCGCTAGTAGTTCGCTTCCAAACCGTCCCACACGTGCTAACTTGTGCTAGTACATCGAATATACTTCGGTTGTGTTGGGTGTACAGTGGTGCCGAGCTTGCATGAGTCTGGCATTTGAACTTGCATCGACGGAGGTTTAGTGGTGTTATAACCGAACAAACTATAGCGACACTTGAATCAGATAAGGTTTTGCTGACGCGTCAGAAAACTGCGTCGCGTCTGAAGGTGCGGTGTCACATTCAGATGTGACAGCGCGGGTGTGGTTTAGTGAGGCGAACAGAAACCCAAAATGCCAAGGGTTTCGATTTCGCCAAGTTCGTCAGGTTCCCTCAGAACACAACGCAGCGAAATCTTTCCCAAATGTTGAATGATCTCGCCAACCCTTTCTCGATTTTGGGGATCCGCACGTGCGACACAACACCACACTGCCCTGCCACCTTCTAGTGCGTGAGATGCTCCCCTCAACCTTCAAACCCAGTCCACAGATCGAACCTGCTCATTTCACGTCTTACAATCTCGTGCACCGTTTTGTTCACCCAGCTTCCTCCGTCCCCCGGTTGCTCCAACCCACCCGTTTTTGCCCCATATGCGCGTTCTTAATACGTGTGTCTTTCTGTTTTTGCATCCTCCCTCTTACAGGCTAGTGAAAGACTGCTGGGCGGACGGTTTACGCTTTGAAGTTTGACTCGCCGCATGAAGCTCGCGATCAGGCTACCTTGTCACGCCCTATTCCTGATGGTAAATTCATGATCAGGTTAGGTGAGCTTTTGATTTACCCAAAAACGCATTGTCTACTACGCGAGTGTGAGTACGTGTTTCTTTGCAGAATACTAGCGCGTGTGACAACGCTCTATACCAGCGACTTCTCTGACTATCGCCACGCGTCTAAAAAGTTTAATCAAAGCTTATATTTTCCCTAAGTCTTATTGCCATCTTATTGCCGAACAAATCACGGTTCTTCGAGGCGTTTCATAAGATACAGTTCCGAGGTGGTCAATGGCATCCATGATCGGTAGGTTCATCTGAGGTTTTTTTGTCGCCCGTTACATAGCGTGCTGGTTCTATGTCGACCTAACTCTGCTGCGCTTTCTGCAGGACCCTCGTCCCGCCAAAAAAAACCTGGTAGTTACTGCATGTTACATAGCTGCTGTGTGGAGCGTGATGTAAGCAGCTATATAAATAGGATATTAGGTGATTGTTGTTTTGTCTATGGGAAGGCACACTAGGTGGTGTGATTTTGACTTTTCTTTATGTATGGCATGAGTTGTAATGTAAGAGCTTTGGATTGCTGGTTTTGGTCCATGACTCACGATTTTGCTGTTTGCGGTAAACATAATTTCCTGGACTGTAAAATGTGTTGCATTTTTATGGTGTTTCTATATACTCAGAAATATATGAAACTATTTATTCGTTACAGAAACTCTAATACGACAACTGACAAGTTTCTTTAGCGAGGATGAGCAATGTTTGGAGGATGTTGGTGCACTCCTTGCCGAGCCTGATGAAGATTGGTCAGGCAAACCTTTCAAGCACTCCTCTAACAAACCTGCACTTTTGAGCATTCCACATGATAAACCACAAGCATTGATGGCAGGGGAAAACATTAAACACTCCCCCAGCAATCTTTTTGCATTCTTTTTCCGTTCCGAATTTTGTAGAGGACTCAAGGAGCCTACAGCCACCTGACCGCGTGAAGCCACGGCCCCCAGTCGCGCCTTAGCACTAGACGCGCGCGCGGCCTGTAATGCTAGTAACACCGCTCGTACTTCTAGGCGAAAGCGCGGAGAGCATGCAGGGAGCACATTCTCAAGAAAATGCAAGCGGTGCAAGTGCGACTCGCCGTCGCCTGAGCGGATGGCGGCGCGACATGGTGAAACGGGGGCGTGGCTTTCGGAATGAGTGTGACATATCGAAATGGCCGTGACAACTCGAAAATGGTGGCGAGACAAGGCGAACGACAGCAAGATGATGGCGACACATCACCACATTCAGCCAGGCGACATGAAAGCAATAACGGACCTTGGGAGGGGTCAATAGTCACACTGCGGATTGCATGGAGAGCATAAGCGCGCCGAGCCTACAGCTCAAAGCACCCATCACGACGACCGAACCTGGCAGAACCGACAGCGAAGCACAGCGACCAATTCGTAGGCGCCAAAAAAATGGACTGACAATGCACAGCAGAGCCTAGAGCCTCGAATGCGAAAAGATCGGATGTCAGCGAATGGATTCTAGTAAGCTTTCTGATTGAGCGTCGTTCTGCCTCGTGGAAGCAAACATTATAGGGTTACTGAGTATGTTCATGTCGCTGCCGCATTGTGCGACTTACCGAAGAGTACGAGGTTCCGATTCGCGAAAAACTAGCACCTACTCCGGCTTTGCCGTGCCGAAGCAAAATGTGTACGTCTGTCACGCCAAGCTTGGCTGGCATTTTGGTTCCTGGGAAGGCCTTTGGTTTGGTATGCGTAAACTTCGGTCTGTGCGTTCGGTTTGATTTTGGTTTGGTGGCGTCATTTTAGGTATCGGACGAAGCCCCGAACATGACGGGGATCAGGCTCGGCCGAGTTGACGAAACCGAAGCTGAGTCGAGTCGATTCCGAACCTTTCGATTTCGCCGTTGCCCAAACCTCGCCACCACGAATCTCGCTAAGCTAGGTTGTGAACGTGTACTGTAAAAGGGGCTTTTGAATCACACATTTTGTCATATCAATCTCTGTTCTATAATCATCACAGCACTCCAACCCTATTTTTGAACCTTCCGTGCATAGCTTCTTCTCAGTTCACGAGTCCACGCCCTCAAGCATGAAAAATCCATGGCGGTTTCTACGAGCTGTCTATGGAACCGTACCCGCTTTTCCGTCCGCTCCATCGTCGCGTTGGCGGAATCGTCGCCAGCGTCTTCGTTGACGTCAACTCAATCCACTATTAGTCCCATCAATAGCCCCTGCAGCCACAAACAGACATTATTTTCAAGTAGCAGCTACAGCAACGACTCGTCCTCCTGCCCGTGTCGCCAGCCGCTGCTAGGTTGCGGCATTATCAGACTCGAGTCCATTCGAGACAACTATCACTCTCCCCACATCGCGCACTCCCGCCTTGCTCGGCGCGCAGCTTCCGCCGCTGCTGCTGCGAATGCTGCTGCTCGCTCTCGCCTCGCGCCGCGACGGCGCGCAGCTGCTGCTGTTGCTGCGGCTGGTGATGCTAGTGCGACGCCGCACAAGTGATGCAGCCTTCCTTCGGCGGTCCCTGTTGCCTGCTCAGGCAAATCGCGACACCCATTCGCGGGATTTCTGAGATAGGATGGCGACTTGGCCGCATGCACAGGCGGTATGCACCGAGGCCGCCTCGGCCTGTTCAAGCTTTTTTGTTGGGGCGTCGAAGATGCGGTGGATTTCGTTGGAGGGGTTGGAAGGACGGAGTAATGCTGATGGTAAGCTGCGCTTTCTGTGTTTCACTGAGCATTCAACGCATGGCGTCACAGCAGCAAGACGCTTAGTCCGGTGCTTACATTAGAGCTATTTACTACTGACGTGACAGATATGGTTAATGGGACATTTTATGATGCATAAAGTAAAAGGCGAAGGGATGATGGTGCGGGGAAGATTGGACGGATAAAGGAGATTCAGTTGTCGCATGCCACGTGGCACAGCTTGTTGAGGCGTCATTGTGCCATCCACCTTTTGCAACAGTTACTGCCGCTGCTATTGGTTTCCTGACCTCCCCCTGTCCCTATTTACTGCTCCATCTTCTCTCTCCCATTCTGCCTCTTCCCCCTTCCCCCACGTCACCCTCCAACCCCCCCCCCCCCCCTTTTTCCGCTCATGTTGTCCTCAATCCCCGCGCCTCTGCTCCCACCTCCCCACAGGTCTATATAGTTGAGGTCGAAAGCACACAATGAGAAGTGAAGTAAGATCCAGGTCCCGAGCTTCGCATGGTTGCTCACACGTGCCACTTCGGCATATCTACTGCTCTTGTGGCTTCGGATGGATGACGAAGGTGAGAGTTGGTCATGGGTGGGTATGTATGTGAGAGTCGGTGAGCGGAATCTGTGGGTTAGGGGCGTGTGGGAGGTTCACTCGAGAGATCAGTGAAGGGAGGTGGAAGGGGAGTGAAGGCGGGGTGAAGGGGAGGAGGATGGGGAGTGCTGCTGGGGCGGGCGGAGGCCATAGGGGATGCCTGGAGTGTTAACGATGGGTGGACGGGGCCCGGGGGTGGTTGACAAGCTGGATCTCGCCAAGGCGAGAGTCAGTTCGGGACGAGGAGTCGCGTGTAGGAATCTCTTGAGTCATGCGCAGGCGATAAGTGAAGTGAATGGTGGCATTGAGCAGCTGGGCGCCACCAAGGTGGGAGTTGCTGAGATTCGGTGAGGAGTGGGTAAAAGTGGCTGGGCTGGGGGATGAGATGGCTGGGGGGAGGTCACAGCAGGACAGGTGAGTTAAGAAGCTGGTTGCAGCCAAGGTGGGACCCGTTCCGCCATCTTCCCTCAACTACCTTCCCCTCCCTCCCAAACTCTGATTTCCTCTTTCCATCCAACTCCCATTCGCAACCCCCCTTTCCCCATCCATCCAGAATCGCATGTGTGATTCCTGTCCTACACCAACGCCTTGTGACTCCTTCATATCTGCCTCTACCCGCTCCTCCGCTTTCCCCGCTTTTCCACCCTTCTTTCCCGCTCTCCCCTCCCCCAACCTCCCCCCCCCCCCCTCCCTCCCCCCTCTCCCCCCTCCCCGACCAGTTCCAGTTCTACACCTGCGTCCCATACACCGAGAAAAAAAGCCCCTACAGCACTTTCTCCCACATCTGCACCCTAGCTCTGCATCGGCTTCCTTTATACGGACTCTTGGACCACACGTTCGCACCCTTATGGCACTGTCTCCCACATCATTCTCACAAGCCACTGCCATTTTTCCTCCTTTCCCTCCGCCTCATTCCCTCCCAGATCTGCACCGCACCTGCTTCTCCTAGACCCACGTCTGCCCCACTGCATAGAGTTGGGACCCCACAACGCGGGCACACTGTTCATCCAGGCCCAAGGTACTATCCCCTCCCCTCTCCACTCCATACCCCCTCCCACCCAACCCTCCTTCCCCACCCCTCCCAGCTCCGCACCTTCCTCTCCCACATCAATGTCTGCTACTACTAGTAGTGGGCCTATGTTCTTCTCCATCACTACTAGTGAGCCTGTTGCATGCCGTCGGTTTTCGTCTTGATGGACGAGAAGATGAGGTGAGGTTAGGCAGGGCTACTGGGTTCCCAGGGTAGAGCAAAAGGAGAAGCAGATGTGCTGGTAAGAGTAGTAATGTGGCTACTGCTCTCATAGACATATGTGCTCATGCCGGAGTGGTTATCGGGACAGACTAGAAACCTGTTGGGCTCTGCCTGCGCAGGTTCGAATTTTGCTGAGCACGAGTCAGTTTGTGGTCGGTTCGCTATGATTTTTGTATCAATATTGTTTTGCACTTCACAGTGCGACATCACATTGAAGTGCAGTGATTATTCAGATAACATATCAATTGCCTAGTGGTCACCCTATTGGAAGAATTTCGGCATGGCGATGCGACTATCGCTCCACACAAGGCAGCGCGCTGGATCTGTGACGTTTGTCGCACTAAAGTATGTCGCACTGAGGTCTGACTCACTGGGGTCTGTCGCACTGAGTTCACTCACCCCAGTGTGCACGTAGGCCGATCCGACCAGATTCCTGCCCGCACCACTCACTCCGTTCCCCATCCCGCTCTCTTCGCGCTTCTTTTGGCGCCTCAAAAGCCCTTTGCCTCCCCGCGTCCCGCATTCTGCTCCCCATTCCAATCGCTGTGCATAGAGACGTTACCCTAGATCCGTGCTCTCCGTTGCTCTTAAACCATTCCGTCTCACCAACCGCGTTACTCCCTTTCCTTCTTGTTTCCCCGTGTCCCTCCTCCTACCCCTTGCTCTCCCTGTTGCGCCACTCTGTGCCGTGCGGCGTTCCGCCCAAGTGAGCCCCGCAGCACTCGTGCCCGCATTCTGCTCCTCCTCGGGGCCGCTTCGCCTGGACGCCGCAAGCACCACGGGCAGCGCAGGTAGACCGGTGGCGGGTCCAGTGGAGCTGCAGGGTGAAGTGGGGGCAGGCAGATAGAGGAGTGGGGGGCAGCGAGCTTGAGAGTTGGCTGCAGGAGGGCGGGTGAGGAAGTGGGGAAGGAAAGGAGGATCAAGAGCAGCAGGGTCGGACGCGCATATTGGCGGCCTTGGTGGCGCGGATGGTGGCGGCTGTCCTCCCCCACGCCTTGAGTATGTTTCGCGCATGCGCGACCCCTGTTTGTGTCCCCTAAGCCACGTCCGCACCACGTGTCTGCAGTCTTCTCCCACCACACGGGAGCACGGGGGAAGGGGGGGGTGCTTGGGTCAAAAAATGGGGGGGAGCATGCATAAGTGGCAGTTTGATCCATGCACAGAGGCACAGGGGCGGCAGGTGGGAGGGGGGTAACAGGGGCAAGGAGGGAGTATGGCGGCCAGCAACAGGAACAGGCAGCATAGGCAGCACGGGCAGCATAGGCGGGAGAAACATGGGCACGGCTGCTCACACCTGTGATGCGGTACTCACGGACGCCGCCATCCTCCTCCTTTCTGTGATTATGCCCGCACCCGCCTCCTCCTCCCTGCGCTTCCCCCAAGTGCCCAGCGCAGATTCAACAGTAGCGGCAGCGGTGTGGTGCTGCACTGGGCAGCTTGTGTGACATTCATCCTTGTTGACCTTGATGACCCCATTCATCCTCTGCATAAACCAGCTGTCCCCATCTCAGGTGCTCCTCCTCTGCCCTCCATCACCCTCCCATCTGCTCCCACCATTCCAGCCACGCAGCATCACCATAGCCATTGCACCCTCAGACACCACCCCTCCCTCTCGCCCACCATCACCTACGTTATGACCATCTGCTGTCACTCGATTCTCCCCTCCATGCCCTTCTAACCCTCCTGTGCTTCTCTTTAAGTTTTTTCACCGATTTCTCTCACTCTACCCCCGCTACGCACCTCCCCTCTCCCCCCTCCCCCCGAAACACGACTCCCCCACTTTCTTGGTGGTTGAATGATGGTGGCAGCAGAGAGGACTTGCATGCACTCCATTTGCTGATCAAGAATCTTCATCTGACCACACCTTCTCTTCCCCTACTCCCTTGATCTCCCCTCAGCTGTTTCTAGCAGTCACCTTGTCATGATGGCATGGCGTGAAGGGAGGTAAGGCTGGCGGATTTGACAGAAGAAACTTGGAGAAGGTGAGGATGTTTAACATCCCAAATAGAAATCTCTTCGGCTTATGGTTGATGTAGTCTATATGTGGGCAACATTAGATGGCATGTCTTTGAATTTTAGTGGAGAACAGTAGTGTCGAGGCAGCTATGCATGTGCACACCTCATCCACACGTCATTCTATGCCACATCCCACACCTGATCCCACACCTCATCCAGACCTCATCCCATACCGTACATCATCCATACATCACCCTATACCCCCTCCCATACCCCGTCCCATACCCCGCTCCATACTCCATCCCATACCCCGTCCCATACCCCGTCCCATACCCCGCTCCATACCCCGTATCATACCCCGTTCCATACCCCGTTCCATACCTCGTCCTACACATCCCACACATACATAATTCCTCGAACACATTGTTTATTTTCGTGCCCACCTTTCACTCGTGGTGCAAATATTGCATTCTAGTAATATTACAGGTAGTCTTTCTGGAAATCCAGCTCCTCTCGTTGTGTTTGCAGGCTGTTGCCATTCACAGAAGGTGCTGCTAGGGGAGATGGGGTAAGAATGAATGAAGGGAAAGGTGTGAGCAGGAGTTATGGCAAACTTGTTAGCAATGCCTTGACTGTGTCTCATACATCTTTTGTTTGTCATTTCCATCCGTTGCAGTGACATCAGCCAGAACAACCTCACTGGCCAACTCCCACCAGCAATAGGAAGTCTCACTAATCTTACATACCTGTAAGGCATTCTAGCATGCTCAAGTGTTGCAATGTCCATCATAGCAGCCTTGGAGCATTTCATGAAGAGGAGGTATACAAGGTTTTCCAGTGGTGTACCATAGCCAAAGAGTGTTTAAGGCCACAGGCAGGAGGTACACAAGGACCCAACTTGGACTGGCCCAACCCAAACCTCCACGTCAAGCCGTCTTCAAAAGGCGGTTATATACAAATGTATGGTTCGTCATTGTTTTCAGCCTGTATAACACCTTGGCATAGTAGAGTATTGCAATGTGTTCCATACAACTCCAATAGCAACCTCGGAGCGTTTCACTTCGAGCTGAAACCCTTTTCCGACTCTCTGTTTTATAAATGCTCCATGTGCACATGCAGGAACATGTTTTCGACTGCAATCACATGCCCTCCTGACTACAGAAGCTGTGTGGTCCCACAGACCACTTCAAGTGCTTTCTGCAGCCAGTGCGGCTCCTTTTGCACCACATGTGACAAGCCACCACCAGGTGAGACGCTTCTTACGCAGGTAGCTGCAATTTGTATTGCCTATTCTTACATTGCTCTCATGCCAAGTGCATGAACACCACATTGCCACCCATTCAACAAGCTTTTTCAGTGTCAGATTTTTTTTTTCCAGGTATCAGGAACCCATAGAACAATATTTCCTAGTGTCACGCATCCGCATCCTCACGCATCCGCATCCTGTTGCATGCCTTCACTTGGCTTTTAATGAAGAGTACCCGTTTAAACCCGTCAATGCCTCTCTTTGCTACTGCTCACTGTGCAAAATGTGCTTGATGCCACATCCACTTTCACCAAGCCCACCGCCATCCCCATGTCTGATTTCCCTTTCCCTTCCCTTTCTTCATCTTCCGATCCCATTATTGTACTGTCCCCATCGACAGTGCCAAAACCTTCTCCATCACCAGCGCCAGCACCCTCACCATCCCCAGTGACAGCACCCTCATCGCCAGCGCCAGCACCTTCTCCACCGCCTCCCACTTCAGCTCCTAATGCACCCTCCGCCTCTCCCTCCAAAGGAGGGGCGGTTTATTCAGCGAAGCCATGGCTGGCATTGCTGCTGCTGGCACTGTGGCTGTCCTCGTGTTGCTGCTGCTGCTGAGCTGGCTGCTGTGCCAGCAATGCTGCACCAACGAGGTAGCAGGAGGAGGGGATGGCGACGGCAATATTGGAATAGGCTAGAGTTCACTCTCATAATTATCATTGTGTAATCTTATTAGAGCAAGTTACACTTCAGGTTTCAGTTTAGTTAAAGGTTCAACTCATAGGTTTCACCTTTGATAACACATCATAACTGTAAGACAAACTTGGGTTAGCATTGAGACTTGCCACAGGCAGGCTGTCCTGGTTCAGAAGAGGCCTGGCACAAACAACAATAGATAATTCACCACATAAATACTAAGTCCTACAACACACCAACACGCAGAGACAAATTAAGCAAAAGCAAGGCAAACAGAAGAATTACTAAAGAGCACGGGGTGACCTAGGACGTGTATGTCAGAATATATTTGCTGTTTAGCCTGCAGTGGGGTACTCTGTAATGAGTACAACCCAATTTAGGGCAATGTACTTTATCCCAACTCTTGCTAGTCAAACCACTTCTCTTCCAATTTCTCGATACTCTCCCCTAGGAGAAACCCACTCGAACTTACCTATCTCCTAGTGTGGGCCTAGGCTACTAAGCCTAGGCCCCACACCTACTATTTTCACATGTTATCAGAGCCCGTTCTACCTTGGCCTGTGGGCCCCTATGCTTCCGCTGCAGTCCTTCTTCCTGCCGCGCGCGGAGCGCGCGGCGAAATTTTTTTTAAGGATTTCAGAGTTTTTCATCCCGCCGTGCGCTCGGGGCGCGCGGCGGTTTTCCCGTCCTTCGAAGCGCCCTCGGGGGGCCTGCGCGCTGCCCTCCCCGCTGCTCGTCGCGACGCCCGTGCGGGACCTGCGCGGCGTCACCCTGCTCGTCGCGACGTCCGTGCGGGACCCGCGGGGCGTCGCCCCTGCTCGTCGCGACGTCCGTGCGGGACCCGCGCGGCGCCGCCCTACTTGTCGCGACGTCCGTGCGGGACCCGCGGGGCGTCGCCCCTGCTCGTCGCGACGCCCCATGCGGGACCCGCGGGGCGCCGTCAGTTCCTGCAGCAGCAGCCGCCGCCGCCCTGCAGCAGCAGCCGCCGCCGGGCCTGCAGCAACACACGCCGCCGCCCTGCAGCAGCAGCCGCCGCCGGGCCTGCAGCAACAGACGCCGCCGCCCTGCAGCAGCAGCCGCCGCCAGGCCTGCAGCAGCAGCCGCCGCCAGAGCCTGCAGCAGCAGCCACCGCCAGAGCCTGCAGCAGCAGCCACCGCCAGAGTCTGCAGCAGCAGCCGCCGCAAGAGCCTGCAGCAGCTGCCGCCACCGATCCAACAGCAGCAGCCGCCGCCGCTCTGCCGCAGCAGCCACCGCCACCCAGCAGCAGCAGCCGCCGCCCTGCAGCAGCAGCCGCCGCCAGGCCTGCAGCAGCAGCCGCCGCCAGAGCCTGCAGCAGCAGCCACCGCCAGAGATTGCAGCAGCTGCCGCCCCTGGACCCGGTACGCTCTGTGCTGCCCTGCCTGTGCTGCCCTGTACTGCCCTGCCTGTGCTGCCCTGTACTGCCCTGCCTGTGCTGCCCTGCCTGTGCTGCCCTGTGCTGCCCTGCCTGTGCTGCCCTGTGCTGCCCTGCCTGTTGCTGCCCGTGCTTGTGCTGCCCGTGCCTGTGCTGCCCGTGCCTGTGCTGCTTGTGCCTGTTGCTGCCCGTGCCTGTGCTGCCCGTGCCTGTTGCTGCCCGTGCCTGTTGCTGCCCGTGCCTGTGCTGCCCGTGCCTGTGCTGCCCGTGCCTGTGCTGCCCGTGCTTGTGCTGCCCGTGCCTGTGCTGCCCGTGCCTGTGCTGCTCGTGCCTGTGCTGCCCGTGCCTGTGCTGCCCGTGCCTGTGCTGCCCGTGCCTGTGCTGCCTGTGCCTGTTGCTGCCCGTGCCTGTGCTGCCCGTGCCTGTGCTGCCCGTGCCTGTTGCTGCCCGTGCCTGTGCTGCCCGTGCCTGTGCTGCCCGTGCCTGTGCTGCCCGTGCCTGTGCTGCCCGTGCCTGTTGCTGCCCGTGCCTGTGCTGCCCGTGCCTGTGCTGCCCGTGCCTGTGCTGCCCGTGCCTGTGCTGCCCGTGCTTGTGCTGCCCGTGCCTGTGCTGCCCGTGCCTGTGCTGCCTGTGCTTGTTGCTGCCCGTGCCTGTGCTGCCCGTGCCTGTGCTGCCCGTGCCTGTGCTGCCCGTGCCTGTTGCTGCCCGTGCCTGTGCTGCCCGTGCCTGTGCTGCCCGTGCCTGTGCTGCCCGTGCTTGTGCTGCTCGTGCCTGTGCTGCCCGTGCCTGTGCTGCTCGTGCCTGTGCTGCCCGTGCCTGTGCTGCCCGTGCCTGTGCTGCCCGTGCCTGTGCTGCCTGTGCCTGTTGCTGCCCGTGCCTGTGCTGCCCGTGCCTGTGCTGCCTGTGCCTGTTGCTGCCCGTGCCTGTGCTGCCCGTGCCTGTGCTGCCCGTGCCTGTGCTGCCCGTGCCTGTGCTGCCCGTGCCTGTTGCTGCCCGTGCCTGTGCTGCCCGTGCCTGTGCTGCCCGTGCCTGTGCTGCCCGTGCCTGTGCTGCCCGTGCCTGTGCTGCCCGTGCCTGTGCTGCCCGTGCCTGTGCTGCCCGTGCTTGTGCTGCTCGTGCCTGTGCTGCCCGTGCCTGTGCTGCTCGTGCCTGTGCTGCCCGTGCCTGTGCTGCCCGTGCCTGTGCTGCCCGTGCCTGTGCTGCCTGTGCCTGTTGCTGCCCGTGCCTGTGCTGCCCGTGCCTGTGCTGCCTGTGCCTGTTGCTGCCCGTGCCTGTGCTGCCCGTGCCTGTGCTGCCCGTGCCTGTGCTGCCCGTGCCTGTGCTGCCCGTGCCTGTTGCTGCCCGTGCCTGTGCTGCCCGTGCCTGTGCTGCACGTGCCTGTGCTGCCCGTGCCTGTGCTGCCCGTGCCTGCGCTGCCCGTGCCTGTGCTTCCCGTGCCTGTGCTGCCTGTGCCTGTTGCTGCCCGTGCCTGTGCTGCCCGTGCCTGTGCTGCCCGTGCCTGTGCTGGCCGTGCCTGTTGCTGCCCGTGCCTGTGCTGCCCGTGCCTGTGCTGCCCGTGCCTGTGCTGCCCGTGCCTGTTGCTGCCCGTGCCTGTGCTGCCCGTGCCTGTGCTGCCCGTGCCTGTGCTGCCCGTGCCTGTGCTGCCCGTGCCTGTGCTGCCCGTGCCTGTGCTGCCCGTGCCTGTGCTGCCCGTGCTTGTGCTGCTCGTGCCTGTGCTGCCCGTGCCTGTGCTGCTCGTGCCTGTGCTGCCCGTGCCTGTGCTGCCCGTGCCTGTGCTGCCCGTGCCTGTGCTGCCTGTGCCTGTTGCTGCCCGTGCCTGTGCTGCCCGTGCCTGTGCTGCCTGTGCCTGTTGCTGCCCGTGCCTGTGCTGCCCGTGCCTGTGCTGCCCGTGCCTGTGCTGCCCGTGCCTGTGCTGCCCGTGCCTGTTGCTGCCCGTGCCTGTGCTGCCCGTGCCTGTGCTGCACGTGCCTGTGCTGCCCGTGCCTGTGCTGCCCGTGCCTGCGCTGCCCGTGCCTGTGCTTCCCGTGCCTGTGCTGCCTGTGCCTGTTGCTGCCCGTGCCTGTGCTGCCCGTGCCTGTGCTGCCCGTGCCTGTGCTGGCCGTGCCTGTTGCTGCCCGTGCCTGTGCTGCCCGTGCCTGTGCTGCCCGTGCCTGTGCTGCCCGTGCCTGTTGCTGCCCGTGCCTGTGCTGCCCGTGCCTGTGCTGCCCGTGCCTGTTGCTGCCCGTGCCTGTGCTGCCCGTGCCTGTGCTGCCCGTGCCTGTGCTGCCCGTGCCTGTTGCTGCCCGTGCCTGTGCTGCCCGTGCCTGTGCTGCCCGTGCCTGTGCTGCCCGTGCCTGTTGCTGCCCGTGCCTGTGCTGCCCGTGCCTGTGCTGCCCGTGCCTGTGCTGCCCGTGCCTGTGCTGCCTGTGCCTGTTGCTGCCCGTGCCTGTGCTGCCCGTGCCTGTGCTGCCCGTGCCTGTTGCTGCCCGTGCCTGTGCTGCCCGTGCCTGTTGCTGCCCGTGCCTGTGCTGCCCGTGCCTGTGCTGCCCGTGCCTGTGCTGCCCGTGCCCGTGCTGCCCGTGCCTGTTGCTGCCCGTGCCTGTGCTGCCCGTGCCTGTGCTGCCCGTGCCTGTGCTGCCCGTGCCTGTGCTGCCTGTGCCTGTTGCTGCCCGTGCCTGTGCTGCCCGTGCCTGTGCTGCCCGTGCCTGTGCTGCCCGTGCCTGTTGCTGCCCGTGTCTCGTGCTCGCGCCCCCGTGCGCTCTGCTATTGTCTGCGCCCTCGTGCGCACTGTCCCCCCCCCCCCCCCCCCCCCCCCCCCCCCCCGTTTGCGGGTGTGGGGGTGCTCCGTTTGTGTCGCCCCTTCCTTCTCCTCCTCCGTCGTCTCCCACTGCTGCAGCTGTCGCTGAGGGGGGTGGTTGTGTGGGAGACTGGGGTTTAGGGTTTAAGGGGGGTGCGTGGGAGTGGAGCTAGCGGTGTAGCAGCGGGTGTGTGTCAGGGGGGTGGGACTGTTTGGGGAAGCTGCATGGAAGTTGCCGTACTGTAGTCCGCAGCACCTGTAGTCCGGGGCGCTGTCCCGGTAGCCCAGTGAGCTAGACTTCTACGCCAGCCGCCCGTGGGTCCGTTGCCCGTCTGCCGCTACTTGAGCCGCGGGGCCTGTTACTCCTGTAGTCCGGGCGCTGTCCGGTAGCCGCTGTGCCAGTCTGCCTCCTGTTGCCCGTGTGTCTGCAGCTTCAGCCGTCTCCTCCTATCTCCTCTCCCCTCACTCTCTCTCCTCCTCCTCACTTGCCCGTTGTGACTACCACTAGCTTTGCTCATAATTCTTAACTCTAAACTATTGCTTCTTTAACTTGTGCTCAGAATGTGTGGTGACATTGTGATCCACCCTGAACTTGTACTATTTTGCCTGCTCTGCTGATTACACCCCACTTTGGCTATGGGGGTGTGTCAGAATATATTTGCTGTTTAGCCTGCAGTGGGGTACTCTGTAATGAGTACAACCCAATTTAGGGCAATGTACTTGTATCCCAACTCTTGCTAGTCAAACCACTTCTCTTCCAATTTCTCGATACTCTCCCCTATGAGAAACCCACTCGAACTTACCTATCTCCTAGTGTGGGCCTAGGCTACTAAGCCTAGGCCCCACACCTACTATTTTCACAGTGTAGATATGGAATTTGAGTACCCTCCCATGATCGTGGTGCCAGGGTACCAGGAAGGGGAGGCATAGGAAGAAGGACACAGCAGAGGAGGAGCGGGTGAAAGGACACAGCGTAGGAAAGGCTCGTGAAAAGCAGACCAGGAGGGGGCCGGGGGGCGGAGGTCTTGGGGACTGTGACAAGCTAGTCGGCCAACACTAAAGGGCAGTTCTCACCACCAGGGCCAAGGAGGGAGAAGGGGCAGTGGCGAAGATTCACAGAAGGGCAGAGAGAGGAGTCGGGGCGACGGGGTCATGGCTCTGTTGCTCCGGGCCACCTGCTCCACCAATCTGGCTCAGCCTCCGCCAGCGCTCGGTGCAGCTTCGGTTTGTCAAGGTTGTGTCTGTCCTTTAGAAGAACAGGTTGCGTGCCTGGCAGCAGAGAGGAAGGGTCGCTTCTGCTGCTGCAGGACCACGGGGAGCACCACAGGTGCCAATGAAGCAGCAGGAGGGCCGATGGTGAGGAGGTGTGAACGTGAACCAGGCTCAGTTATTACTTCAAAGGGTACACAGGAGCAATTTTGCTAAGTGACGGTCCGTTGTGTTAATGAGAAGTAGTTTACCGACAGGCAGATGAGCACTTCGGAAACAGACATTTCCACTACTTAAAAGGCCTGTCACCACTGCTGCCTACTCCCCCACCACGGCTCTCCCTCTACCCCCCCCGCTCCTACCCCCTTCTCCCACCCCCTCCTTCATCTTTCCCACCCATTCCTCCCTCCTGCTCCTCCCCTCTCCTCTCGCTCTACCCTCTCTTCTCCCTCCCTCTTCACCGTCTCTCCCCCTTCTCATTCTATCCCCTTCCTCCTTCCCGTTTCTCAGCGCCTACTTTTCACCCCATCCCCTCCACGCCCCTTACCTCTGAATCCCACCCCTCCCCCATTCCCACCCCTCCGTGCTCCCTCACCTGCACACAGTATCCGATCCATCCTCCTACATGTTTCTTTTCCTGTGCTTCGTTCACAGCTCCACCGTGCTCTATCTCAATATCCTTTGGATTTCTGCCGCTGTGGTTTCATCTCCCAAGCCTCGCATCTCAATTTAGCCTTGTAGCCCAACTATCATCTCGTTACGCTACATGTTAGTCTCATCTCTATATGTTAGCCAGTCATGCCAATGTGCTCCGTCCTACATCCCTGGCCCTTGTCGCCTCTTGTGATAGATTCTGTCTTGTTTTTTTTGCCGCTGCCCCCTCCCTCCCATGCTTAAATCCTTATATGCGACTACTACAGTTGGGTACATGCAGGGGCATACATGTAACGCCTGTGGGCTAAGTGTTAATGGGCATTCCGCTGCGCCAAATAACACTCTCGTTTTGACCCAGTGGGTAGCGATGTGTTATAGATGAGACAGTGACTTCAGGGCTGTTTGACACAAACAATCGCATTGAGGGCCAACGGCAAAGCAAGCGCATGGTGCAGGGATTATGAGACGATGGCCGAAGGGGTAATGGTATGATGTGGTGATGGGAATATGGGAATATGGGTAATGGGTTAATGGGGTGACTGGAAGATCGTGTGACGATGTGATGGGATGCTTGTGTGATGGTGTGATGTGATGATAAGATCAAGGGACTTGAGTCGTCCATATGGAAAGGGTCGATCCAAGAAAGGATGGGGTGTCAATGGCAGTGGTGGCTAGCGAGGTGACGATGCGAGCAGACACCTATAGGTTAGGTTCGAATCTGACCTCATTGCAGAGATGAGAGATCATTCATCTCATGTGGGCATATGGACAGCAGAAGAAGGATGCTACTGGCTGGTCTATGCGGGAAGGGTGGTCAGGGAAAGAGGGCGGGAGAGAACAGGGAGGTGGAAGAAAGGAAAAGGCATGGCAGGCAGGTAGGATGAAGGCCAAGAACTTGAAGAGGGTGGTGGGATGTTGACCTATTCAAGCGAGCCACTCCACTGACGGAAGTCCACAGCTGACTATTCCAACAATTGACATTTGACCTTGCGCCTGCCAAATGAAGAGGGATGGGGTTGTGGGAAAATGGTACGGTAGGTGGGTGACAACAGTGAGGGTAGGGAAGATCGAGGGCACCAGCCCCTCACTTTTGTGGATGGCACATCCCACCTCCACCATGTGCCCAACCCACGTCCACCATGTGCATATCACCTTCTTTCTAGAATTCTTAGCTGTCGAATGCATGGTTGTTTCTAAAGTACGGAACAGGTTCACTTGTAGAGTGAGTGTGGGATTTTAAGAGAGAAAGAGTGTTGGTTTCAAAACATAATGCATGTAAATTACTACACTCTTAACCTAACAATCTGCACTGTGTGACATATCATCTGTTTTTCCACCCCACATATCTAACCTGCAACGCGGTATTACTTTGCACCTTGAGAATTACATCTCATACCCTCCACTCCTCTCATAGTCCCGCTCTCTTACTCCTCACGCCTCTGATACCCCCCACTTCCTCCTTGTATTGTTTCTTGGTTTGGTTAGAAGAATGTGTGCAAGATGCTTGCGCTATGCTTGTAGTGTTTGTTGTGAAATCGCCTTCTTTGTTGTAAAATGTGCCACCAATCGTAAGCTTGATAGAAATTTGTCAAGTGTTCTCAGCAAAGTGGTGCCTGCCACATCTCCTGGCCTGATTTGACACGGACGGTGATAAAAAAGCTGGCATCATGCCAAGCCAACCAGCTTGTAAAAAAACTAAATGATTGCTACATATGTCAGATGGAATCATATCATAAGAAGAAGGTATGGCAGATGGTTATACAATAATATTTTCTGGAACTGTGTTGTGGAATGGGGCTCAGTCCGGGTTGAATCAGATCTTGATTGATACTCTTTGTAATTTGAACCATGATTTCTCCTTGCAGCATGACTAATAGCTTAGCCTGCAACCATTAAAAAATCATGAACGTGTGTTTTTCATTTTTCTAAATTCAAACCACTCGGCACATGTGACGATGCAGTGCTGGAAGGACACTAGAGCTAGAGAGAGACGGTAAAGATAGTCGTAATCTTGAACTTGCGCCTGCCAAAGAGGGGCATGCAAAGATGGGGTGAGAGCACAGGAATGGCTTCAACAAGGGCAGCTCACGGGGCACCGGATGGGTTCAGCAAGGTGGGGTGAGAGCACAGGCATGGCTTCAACAAGGGCAGCTCATGTCAACGAGAGTGTTGTTTGGCCCCGTCCTTGCTTGGGCAGAGCCGATCTCGTGGTCGGGTGTGCGGGGGTTGCAGCCGACCTGCAGCAGTGGGCACGGGGGCCACTGCAAGGGCGCCGAGCTGGAGGGTGCCTGGCTGGAGGGCGCCGAGCAGGAGAACGCTGTCTTGGATGCTTGGTCGGCATCCTGGACGCCTGGTTGACGTCCTGGGAGGCTAGACGTCGACCTAGGCGTCTGCACGGCGGTCTAGGAGCCTGGGATGCTGCTCTAGGCATCTGCACGGCGTCCTGGGGGCCCGGACGCCGACCTGGGCGTCTTGGGGGCCTGGACGCCGACCTGGGAGTTTGATCGACGTCCTGGGAGGCTGGATGCCACCCTGTATGTCTGGAAGGCGTCCTAGGCGTCTGGACGCCAACCGGGGGGGGGTTAGGACGGCGTCCTGGGCGTCTGGACGCTGGACTGGGGACCCCGGGCATGGGTGACCGGGCATGGTTGCCCGGTCGACCGGGATACCTGGGCGACGTGCGCGAGCGTCAGTGGGGTGGGGTCTGCGAGGCCGACCTCGGGGGTGGTATCCCGAGGCGGACGTGGCTGGTGGGCGCAGTCGCTGGCCTGGAGTCTGCTAGGCGTCTGCGCTGTGCTCGTGACAAGGGGTGGAGCGCCAACCAGCTGTGCGCACCTGCGAAGCAGATGCACCGTTGTCCTGCGGGTGCAACGCTGTACAACCGACTTACTGCAGCGTTGGCACACCATGGATTTGCAACGTTGGGGCACCGCTACTCTGCAACACTGGAGCGGAGTGAGCGCTGCTACGCTGGACTGCGGTCGACCATGTTGCGCTGGAGGTCGACTAGCAGCCTAGCTAGCTCTGATGTAGTCTGTGTTGCCAATGTTGTTGCTAACTATTATTGTCAACTTTCTCTAGTGAAACTCTTGCCAAATTGCCCCGTGATCTAGCAAGCAATGTGTGCACTAGGAAAACGACTAAGGAACAACGAATGCAGAAATCACACGAGCACCCCGTGCCTAGCTCGTAGTCTAGCTCCCGTTGTAGTAGTTATCTCCGCAGCTCACAGGGCACGGGTTCAGCAAGGTGGGGTGAGAGCACAAGCATGGCTTCAACAAGGGCAGCTCACGGTGCACGGGTTCAGCAAGGTGGGGTGAGAGCACAGGCATGGCTTCAACAAGGGCAGCTCACGGTGCACGGGTTCAGCAAGGTGGGGTGAGAGCACAGACATGGCTTCAACAAGGGCAGCTCACGGTTCACGAGTTCAACAAGGTGGGGTGAGAGCACAGGCATGGCTTCAACAAGGGCAGCTCAAATGGCACGGGTTCAGCAAGGTGGGGTGAGAGCACAGGCATGGCTTCAACAAGACCAGCTCACGGGGCACGGGTTAAGCACGGACTGGGCCTTCTTATGCCGGGTTGTAAGCCTCTTTCAGGGCCTCTTTCAGTGTGCAAGTCCAAGCAGGCGGTTCAGCATGTTGGCGAAGGCCATGGAACAGTCAGTCAGCCATGGGTCAGTCAGTGTCAGTCAGCCATGGGTCAGTCAGAGTCAATCAGCCATGGATTAGTCAGTCAGCCAAGGGTCAGTCAGTCAGCCATGGGGTTCATGAGGTATCTTTGCTCGGCGCACTGTCGGCATACATAAATGTGTGAGACTCCAATTTCCCACTCTCCCCCCCCTCCCCCCCCCCCCCTCCATGTCCCCCCTCTTCTTACCTCCTCTTCCCCCTCCCTTCCCTCTTGTAGTTGCAATATATTCGCCAGTCGTGCTCGTATCCAACAACATATTCTCCTCCCTTAGTTTGTTACTTCGTGAATTAGTCTCACTTTCCTATTCTTGAGGTCGACCCACTAGTCCATCCCTCACTCTCCCATTCTTGAACCCGGGTTTTATTGCTAGGAGATTACAGTATTACTCTCTTATTGCTTTGTGCAACTCAATGTGAGCCTCCACTCCCCCCTCTTCCTACTACACCCCTTCTTCCTCCCCCCCCACCCCCCTCTCCCCTCCCGCCCAACCCACTTCATGACCCTAAGCATGTGTATGATTCATGGGTCTAGATAAATATTTCCCTTCTTTGATGTTCACACAAGTCATTTCCGGGTCTTATTGTTGGGAGATTACGGTAATACTCCCCCTACTCTCTATCAAAACCCACTACTATTCACAGTTCTGTCGCCGTGTTTCATTCCTCCCACAAGGCTCTTCTCCTACCACATCTGACTTGGTATGCAAACGAAAGGGCCGTGAAGGAATTATATCCTTTCTTGCCCATGTGTAGCAGATGACACAACACTAAAGAGAAGTGAACATAAGGAGATTGTGATGCTTTGTTTGTAGGTTAGATACGTGGGATGGAAAAGGAGATGCTGTGTCATTTAGTGCAGAATTTCAGGTTGAGAGTGTAGTGATTTACCAGCCTGATGTTTGATGCTGCCACAGGAAAAGCTTATTATTTTCATCTATTATGACTGACCTTATCACTCTACAATGTTGCAACTCTCATGGATGCAACTATCATCCTCCACATCACCGGCACCATGACCGCCTGCTCTCACCCAATTCTCTCCCCCCTCCCCCTCCCCCTCCCCCTACCCCTCTCCGCCCCCCCTCCCCTCTTTCCTCTCGAGAAATCAACTTCTTGCACTGCAACGCCCCACCTTGTCTTCCCCTTTCCGTATCTCAGTGCAGCTGCTTCTAGCAGTCGCCTTCCCAGACATGGCATGCAGGGAGGTGGGGCTGGTGGAGGTTGCAAGCTGGGGTAGTTGGTGGTTGGGATTCGGGCCGAACCAAGGTGGCTGGAATGGCCAGAATCAACACTGCAAGTCCCAAGGCGTTCACAGTGTGTTTGCAATGTGCCCTAGGCGGCGGCATGCTTGCGACAAACACAAAGGAGCACAACAATGCCTCCTCTAGGTCTTTGATACTGGTACTATTTCTTCAAAGACCATTAGATTTTATTGTTTTGGAATGTGGTAAGTGGTGAGGTCATTCATAAGACCTACGATGTAATTTGATTGTGAGTCGATTGTGGCTCACATTACAGACTCAAAGCCAAGCCAGCCAACAAAATTACGGTACCCCTGCTCGTGTAACAATCCCGGCAAGGACAAGTTTATTAATCAGCGATTCGCATTTCTGACAGGCTGTGTAGAAATAGGTTGTGTGTTCACTATTATCCACACCCCTTGCTTCCACTACCCATGTTTGTGTACGGATCAAACGGAGGTTGCTCATTACTGTGAACAAGAGCCTAGCCTCTGACTGGCATAGCCATCCATGTGCTCCATCCCTCATGCTTCAGTCCCCTTGCCTCATACCAGTCAGCCAACTCTTCCCTCAACTCATCTCCCTCCCTTCCACATCGCTCCCTGCCAACCTACCATACCTTCCTATAAGTCTGCATACATAGGCAACTTCAAGGTATAGAGATCTGTCATCTTGGTGTAAATGAAATTGTCATATTGGTGGGGCGCATTCAGCTGCCAAGGCGTATAGAGATGTGTCAGCTTGGTCAGGGCAGTCAGCTGCTGCAGCCCATCATCCGTGACTGCCGTGCCATCCAGATCAAGCCTCTCAAGCCCTGTAAGCCTCACCAGATGCACGATGCCGGCATCTGTCACACCACTGCAATAACCAAGCCGCAGGTGTTTGAGAAAGAACGGAGGTGTCAAGTGCGACAGTCCGGCATCGGTCACATTGGCCTGATGGAGAGAGAGGTCTGTGAGACTGGTCAAGGACCCAATGCCTTCCAAGGCACTGTCTGAGAAATCAGTGTAATTGAAGTTTAGCTTTTCTAATTGGGGCAGCCTGTAGAGGTGTTTGATGCCCTCTGCACTGAAGCCTGACCTCGAGTCCAAGTCAATGCTCGTCAGGTGCGTCATTGTGGACACATGGACGAGCATGGCGTCTGAGACGCCGCGGAGACACGCCAGGCTCAGATCAGACTTCTGTAATGCTTCCTTGATTGCCTGGAAGAAATGAACGAAGAGAGAAAGCATAGCAAGGGAATGGATGATCATGGTGGTGATAAGGAAGGGATGGCAAGCAATATATGCTCTATGGAACAGGCCCCTAAGCACTCACCCGCCATGCAGTCTTTTTATCGCCTACACTCCGCTTGATCTTCCGGGTAACATTCACTTTCACGTCTTGTACCTTCTGCCATTCCTTGCCGGCTGCCAATTCCTCCATGGCACATGGCAGGTTTAACTCCTGCACCTCTTTCCTCCTCTCCTCCTCCCATGGAAACTCTGCTACCATTTCGTGCCTTCTCTTTCTACTCTCCCCTCTCAGGCCTCATGCATCTGATGCCCTACTACCCTCAGCCCATTGCTCTGCCATAGTACCCTTTTGTTCCACCAACTCCCTTTTCACCGCTGCCAACTCCCCCTTCACCGCTGTCAGCATGTGCCGCAACTCATCCACCTCCTCCTTGTGTGCAGCCAGCTCCCGTCTAACTGCTGCCAACACAGCCTCCTTGCACAACTCTTTCAGCCCACTCAGAACTCTCTCAGCAGCCATCTCATCCACTCACTGACTCCTCAAACAGCCCTCGTTCTATGGCTGATTGATCCGTGCGTTCAGTTGCCCCCATTCCCTGCTGCCTGGCGAGAGCAAACAAGCCTGGGTAGGGCAGGGTTTAACGTTTTGCGAAAAAACAGAAACGTAAAAACAAAAGACGGAGAAGGTGCCTGGTGAGTGGACACACAAACAAGACCAATTACACAAGCATGAGAGATGAGGCAGTGATGTGAGAAAGAGAGCAGATAAGTAGTAGCAGAAAAAGAGGAACTTTATTGAAAAATGGGCTGTTGGAAAGGGACACCACAAGTATCGCAGCAAGGCAGAAACGATTGTAGTGGTGAAGCGGTAGGGACTGCATCGGGTGTTGATGTTAAAGCAATTCACCCCGACTGGCAAAGCATGCAGGCCAAGCATAGTAGGAGGAGACAGCAAAGACATGCAGAAATTTGCTGAAAGAGTACAACAACAAACACAACGCTAAGAGGAACCAAAGAAGACAGACAAGGGAGACAATGACCACATCACAAAAATCAAATGGCCAAAAACCTCTCATGATGTGTTTCTCATGTGTTTTTGCAGATGATTTGAAGATGTAGGGGTCGGTAATTTTTTAGAAGAAAGTATCGAACTTTTCCAAGATGATGTGTCAGATGCTTTGTAGATGGTTGGAGTGTTTTAAAACAGTTGTGAGGAACTTCTCATTGTGTTTAGGATAACTCGTTTTGATCATATTTGGTTAAATTATGTGATTCTTTTTTGTGCTTGGATAAGTTTTGCTTCACACTTTTATATGCACATAATAATACAGGAATAGGAATATGCAACATTTAAAGAAACCACAATTGGAGATTGAAAATCACAATTGGTAGTTTGTATAGGGCTTTCCATAAATTCACCGTAAGAGGGAAATAATGTACGTGTAAATCATAATATTAGCTTGAAAAATGCTTACAACACAGTAGATGCCTACTCATCCTCTGGTACCTAGCTGGCACCTGCGCTACTTCTCCCCACTATCAACCCCTAGGTCCATACTATGCCGCATGCTTCCTGCTGCGCTACTCCATGCTACATTCTCCCTACTGTGCTGCTCCCTGCTGCATCCTCCCTGCTGTGCTACTCTCTGCTACATCCTCCCTGCTGTGCTACTCTCTGCTACATCCTCCCTGCTGTGCTACTCTCTGCTGCATCCTCTCTGCTGTGCTACTCTCTGCTGCATCCTCTCCTCCCCTGCCATGCTGCTACTCCTCTCCTCCCTTCCTTGCTGCTACTCCTCTCATCCCTTCCCTGCTGCTACTCCTCTCCTCCCTTCCCTGCTGCTACTCCTCTCCTCCCTTCCCTGCTGCTACTCCTCTCCTCCCTTCCCTGCTGCTACTCCTCTCCTCCCTTCCCTGCTGCTACTCCTCTCCTCCCTTCCCTGCTGCTACTCCTCTCCTCCCTTCCTTGCTGCTACACCTCTCTTCCCTTCCTTGCTGCTACACCTCTCCTCCCTTCCTTGATGATGCTCCTCTCCTCCCTTCCCTGCTGCTGCTCCTCTCCTCCCTTCTCTGCGGCTGCTCCTCTCCTCCCTTCCCTGCTGCTGCTCCTCTCCTCCCCTCCCTGCTGCTGTTCCTCTCCTCCCTTCCCTACTGCTGCTCCTCTCCTCCCTTCCCCGCTGCTGCTCCTCTCCTCCCTTCCCTGCTGCTGCTCCCCTCCTCCCTTCCCTGCTGCTGCTCCTCTCCTCCCTTCCCTGCTGCTACTCCTCTCCTCCCTTCCCTGCTGCTGCTCCTCTCCTCCCTTCTCTGCTGCTGCTCCTCTCCTCCCTTCCCTACTGCTGCTCCTCTCCTCCCTTCCCTGCTGCTCCTCCTCTCCTCCCTTCCCTGCTGCTCCTCCTCTCCTCCCTTCCCTGATGCTACTCCTCTCCTCCCTTCCCTGATGCTACTCCTCCTCCCTTCCCTGATGCTACTCCTCTCCTCCCTTCCCTGCTGCTGTTTCTCTCCTCCCTTCCCTGCTGCTGCTCCTCCCCTCCCTTCTCTGCTGCCGCTCCTCTCCTCCCTTCCCTACTGCTGCTCCTCTCCTACCTTCACTGCTGCTACTCCTCTCCTCCCTTCATTGATGATACTCCTCCCTTCCCTGCTGCTACTCATCCGCTCCCTTCCCTGCTGTTACTCCTCTCCTCCCTTCCCTGCTGCTACTCCTCTCCTCCCCTCCCTGCTGCTGTTCCTCCCGTCCCTTCCCTGCTGCTGCTCCTCTCCTCCATTCCCTGCTGCTGCTCCTCTCCTCCCTTCCCTGCTGCTGCTCCTCTCCTCCCTTCCCTGCTGCTGCTCCTCTCCTCCCTTCGCTGCTGCTGCTCCTCTCCTCCCTTCCCTGCTGCTGCTCCTCTCCTCCCTTCCCTGCTGCTGCTCCTCTCCTCCCTTCCCTGCTGCTGCTCCTCTCCTCCTTTCCCTGCTGCTTCTCCTCTCCTTCCTTCCCCCCTCCTACTCCTCACCTCTCTTCCCCCATCCTACTCCTCTCCTCCCTTCCCTGCTGCTACTCCTCTCCTCCCTTCCCTGCTGCTACTCCTCTCCTCCCTTCCCTGCTGCTACTCCTCTCCTCCCTTCCCTGCTGCTGCTCCTCTCCTCCCTTCCCTGCTGCTGCTCCTCTCCTCCCTTCCCTGCTGCTGCTCCTCTCCTCCCTTCCCTGCTGCTACTCCTCTCCTCCATTCTCTGCTGCAATTCCACCATTCATCTCCTCTAGACGTGACCTGAAGCCACCCTCCTTGTCGGGTTGCGGGGTTGTGGTCTAGGCCTATACTCCTCGAGCCCCGACTCATGGACGAACAAGCCGAAGTTCCCCCACTTAAACCCTTTCATCCGTGGATCGTACACAGGGTTCACCTGGCGGAAATGATCCGTCACCGCCCGTTTCACCGCCCTACGGATGCTTGTCACCCACCGCGTGTTCTTACGGTGGGAGTTGGTGAGGTTCATCGTCGACTTCTTGATCTTCGACAATCCGTAGTCGATCTGCGTTGTCAAGAATGGAAATCATGAACAAATTCAAGCTTGATAAGGATGTGTGAGAGGTTTATGGTTATGCGGGGCAATCGCAAGATGCAGGAAAGTACGCCAGTGCTAGAATGTGAGCATGAGACATGAGTGGGCGCAGCTTTGGAAGGAAATGGGGAACCAATGAATGTTTGGAAACACCTGAGGGGTTTAGGGTTCTGATGGGTACTGCATGGATGTGAGGAGAAAGGAGAAAAGGATTAACAATGTAAGTCCGTGAGTGGAAGAGTGCAACCAGAGGGTTTAGGGTACAACTCGAGAGGAGTGGAAACCTGGGTTTCAAGGAGCAACGGAGGGGAAGTTGGAAACACGAGTGCATAAGGTTTAGGGTTGATGGCATGGGGCAGGTGGAAACACAAGGAAAAAAGATCCGTCTAGAGAAACACGCTAAAGGGCCCTAACAAGTCACTCACCACCAAGATAGTCCATGCAATGTGATATGCCTTCAAGCAAATGTCGTTCCCCACGGCAAATTCACCAAATGCGTCCATGGCCGCGTTGAAGAAAATCTCGTTGCCGAACGGGAGATCACTATCCTCGGCATTTCCCCATGTGCTCAGTAGGGCGTCCGCACCTGCAACATGCTCGAACAAAAGTGGTCCAAGGGTTGGGGTGTGATATGGGAAAAGGGTTAGGGGGTGATGTAAAGTACCTTTTAAGACAACAAGTACGGAATATGGGATGTTGCAAGATAGGGGTGCTAGGGTTGAGATGGTGAGAAAGGGGGGAGGGGGGGAAGGTGGGGGAAAATGACAAGCTTATGTTTACTCACTCGGGCCAAACTCCCCCCAGAGTTCCTCCTTGAGCTCGGTGTCGATGTGAATTTCCGCCGCCCGCAAGCCACTCATGGGAACCCCCAAACCCTCGAGCACGGTGCGTTTGACGTAAAACCCACGCTCGTTCTTCCACTGAGTGTACACGCGCTTGAATGCATCCCTGCGCGTTTTATCTGCCATGGCCTCTTTGAGTATGATCAAGGGAACCACGTAGTGCTCGGAAATAACTTCGTGCAAAACAAGAATGCGCTTCTCAAAGCTTGGATAGAACGTGATGAGATGGTCCTCAGCCTCCATACACATGCGCGTCCGAGCTTCTTCCATGTAGAGCTGTTCAATACGACATAAAGGGACCAACAATGTAAAGGTAAACCACAATGACAGAGGAGGTGCAAAATTATCCGGTTGAAACGGAAAACCAGAGAAAACTAGTGGACGAGCCATTGCCACGGACGGGCCAGCCAATAGGATTGAAAACCAAGATAATGTGAATGATAATGACCATGGACAAGAATGGGATACGCAAAAAAGCATGTAAAACCAGGGACTGCACGAGAATGAGCAAATGCACGGATTGGAACCAGAGAAAGAGAATGGTGGGAACCATTTGTCTTAGAATGAGGGGTGAACCATAGCATGAGAATGAGGTGTACCACCAGAGGATGAGGAGGGTTAAACCAGAGAATGAAAACAAAGGGCAAACCAGAAAATGGGAATGAAGGGTAAAACGGAGATTGTGAATGAGAAAAGGTCACTGCATGGAATGATTCCAGAGAGTGGGAATGACTAGACAAACAAAGAATAAGAATGGTAATGCGCGGTTGGGGACAATAGAATGATATAATGTACAAGCCAGCGAGTAGGGTCCACCAATGGGTAAGTGAGATGGGTGGCACTTACCTTCAGATTTGTTGCATTAGGCATCCCATGCCTCCTGGTGATTGGAGTGCCTTGAATAGCACTCTCCGCCACAGCGCCCGGCGTTTCGGGCGGCTCAGGTTGCTCGCTGGAGATCGAGGTAAGCGGCGGGAGTTGCGTCCCGTTTCCCCCCCGGTCCACCAAAGGTCCCCGACCGGCCTTCAGCTCTGCGATCTGCCTATTAGCTTCCTGCAAAGCCTGAAAGAGTTGCTGCATGGAATCATTAGGAGTGGTGCTTGAAGGAATGATGGGCACTCCGCTAGCGTTGAGCGGGGAATTGCCTCCTGCCGATGCAAACGGGAGGGGAGTTGCTGGGTCAGAGCGTCCAACTTTCCTTTCATCATTGAACCAATCTCCAACACCACACGCCTCACCCTCATTCGCCCCCAGCCCCCCACCCCAGGCCAGATCGTCACCACCACCGGCTGGATTGAGCTAGTTGTCATGCTGCTGGCCAGCGTTCTCACGCACGCTCCGATCTTGAAATCGAGACGCCCTCTTTCCCAATCCTGAGGTAGAAGCAAGGGCAGCATACGGATCGTTGGTTGCTGCCTGTTTCATCCGAACGGTCTCCTGACGATTCGACGGTCCAGCATCTTCCGAGTGACCCAAGGTCCTCATCTCATCGTAGAAGCAAAGGTCCTGTCTCACAACAGGACGCTCCTTACGATGCCGATTGGGTCCCTCAGATTCTGTGCGCTTTCCTTGAGCACGCTCTCGACGTCTCTGCCGTTTACGTCCATTACCGGCCTTACCACCGGTTGCATGACCACGCTTTCCACTATAGCGGTGGTTGCGCGCTCCTCGTGCCCTCCCCCCTCTCCTACCGTCGTCATCACTCCCGGACTCAGATTCAGCGTCATCACTCTCGTCCTCCTCCTCATCATACTTCTCCTCGCTCCCGGAGGAACTCCCTGATTCCTCCTCAGAACTATCATCTTCATCTGAAGATTCCACCTCTGCAACGGCCTTCTTTCCAGCATTTCTGGCCCGTGCCTTCACTCTCCCTGACACCCCTCTCTGATCATCTAACTCTGCACCACGTCTCTCCCTCCCACCCTCCCCATGACCACGAACATTCTGTGCATCATCCGCACAGGCACCTGCTGGAGTAGAGGGAGAAGACTCATCACGCGTCATATCACGCTCTCCCTCACGCTTCACCTCACGCTCTCCCTCGTGCTGCACATCACGCTCTCCCTCATGCTGCACATCACGCTCTCCCTCACGCTTCACAACACGCTCTCTTTCACGCTCTCCCTCTCGCTCTCCCTCTCGCTCTCCCTCTCGCTCACCTTCTCGCTCTCCCTCTCTCTCAGCCTCACGCTCTCCCTCCCGCCTGCCATCACGCCTGCCCTCCCGCCTGCCCTCACGCCTGCCCTCACGCTCACCCTCTCTCCTGCCCTCACGCTCTCCCTCACGCTCGTCCTCACGCTTATGCCCTTTCTCTGGCTGCTGCTCCTCGTCGTCTGCATCTTCTCCATGTCCTGTTGCACCCGCTGCGTCTTGTTTTCCCCTTTTCTTGCTCTTGGCACCGGCGCGTGTACCTACAACACGCATCAAGACGATATGCTCAGATAATACGAGGGCCGCACCTCTCTGGATTGTGTGCATACACAGCCAGGCTAACAACGAGCAACTTTAAGACATACAAACGCAGAATGGATACAAAAGCTTGATCCGTACCTTTCCTCCCTGTAGCAGGTTTACACTGGTCCAACGGCTTCAGCTTTCGACCGTTCCTCCGCCCGCGTGAACTGCCGCGACCAACCTTGCCATTGTATGCCTCTTCCTCAGATTGCTCACCATCCGAAGAAGATGCCCCTTCCGATTCCAACTGGGCATCGCGTGCAGGAAGCGTGTTCTTCCGACGATACCTCACAACTAGGTGCGAGGTATCATGAGGCGTCATCTTGTCGTGCAGCTTCTGTTCCGCGTCGGTTCTCGCGTCGCCCGAGAGTTGTAGAGCTCCAGCGCTACCGAGGAGCGCACTAGCATTGGCCTGATCGGTAACGATGATGTCCGTCATCTCTCTAACAATTCTGCTAAACAAGCACAATTAACGGCTACCGAACTGAGCTATGAAACCCACGTGCTCAGAGATTCTATAAATAGGCCTTAGAGACTCAAGGAACAGCAGCGCGCGAGCTGGACATGCCTGCCAGAACAGCAGCGCGCAATCGCACTACGTGCCCACGAAACGCGCCGACCAAAGTCGTGCAAGATAGAACAGCCGCGACACGCGTCATTTCCGGACGCGCCGTCCGAGAACAGAACCGCGGCGCCAAACCATGACGAACCTACAACGAGACCAGCACCGCCGCGCCAAGCAGTACAAGCCTACTACGAGACTAGCACCACCGCGCCACGAGCCTATTCTGTTCCTGCACCGCCGCGCCAAAGGAGGACGTGCCTACTACGAGAACAGCACCGCCGCGCCAAGCAGGACGTGTCTACTAGTATGAGAACAGCATCGTGACAACTATTACGTGGCTAGCACAAACAGCTTCTCACTTTGCATAGAGTGCCAGAGGAACCATCTACATGGACGAACAGATAGCAGTTGCTTGACGTACATACCGTAGAGGGATATCGTGAGGAGAACCTAACTGCTACCAGCTAGACAAACTGGGTGCTTCGGGCGTGGAGGGTATCGTGGCCTCCCCTCTTGATCGAGCGTCGGCTCCAGATCCTTGTTCCTGTAACGAATTCCCACATGGCAGCACGCTGGGTGGTGGTGGTGGATCACGACAGTTCAACTGCCCTTGAAGTTGCAGGGCACGCGATGGCAATGAGCCATTATTTCAAATCCTAGTTTTGAGCAGCCTAATAGGGCTAGTCGCGGGGGCGTTCGAGTAAGTAATTACAAGCGTGAGTACGGGAACCGAACCAGGCCTTTGCCGCACTACAAAATAACAAGGACAAAACAAAAAAACACCAATGTGACAGCAGCAATTTGAAAGAGCGTTGTCCGTGCACTAGCGCGCTTCGATCCGTGGTGGATTTCGAACATCGCGGTACGTGAGTGCCCCTCGTGGTTGCGTTGAAATTTCGATTTCGTAGCACCACTCTTTGTAGCGAGGATGTTCCTGGGCTGACGTTATTTGAGTATGACGAATTAGGGTAATATGGAATACTTGTTTACATAAACTAACTTATAAAGTAGTTAAGAATAGGGTGTTTCGAAACAGCAATCCTTCATGCATAAACTAGCAGTCTAGGAAACAACATATACCTCAACCAAAATCATCATTGGTGATATAGGGTGAATACTAGGCGTGAGTGCCATCACACTCTGTCTTTAACAACGTCCAAGTCTACAGCCATCAATACGCACTATGCAATTGTTGAGAGCAAGCACAATCAGTTTCACACCAACAACTGGCATGCCATGTAGATGTTGCATCTCTGGTGAATATAGCCCCGGCGTAGTGGCCTCATTGCTGCATTCATCGGCCGATGCATACCACCTTATCTAGGGTGCTGCAATAGAACGATTATGTGTTTCCCGGGCGCGCTTGTAATCGTGTTTCTACGAGTCCATAGGGTATGCAATGGATTTCTTATAGCTTACTGTCCGGTGTAAATCAGTTATCAAACTGTCAGGCAAGTTTGCATCAAACGATGAGCAGTACAACGCAGCAGAACGTCAGGTGCTAATGCATGTCACTAACTACTAGCAAGCAGGCTTAGGGGTTTCGATCAGCCTGGATCAAACTACTTGCATGGTCCAACGACACAGGACCACTTAGCCAAATCGTGACGATATTGGCGCCTCCACTGTCTTGGTGTCCCGACCAGGTCACACGCATTCAAACAGTCGAACTTGGTCTCGACAAGCGTATGAATGACACGCATCACAAAAACGCCGCAGTCATTCTCGTTGTCCTGCTGGCGCACCTGCAGATTGCACAAAAATCAGGTGATTCATACAAGGCGTTACCATGAGCAGCTTTCAGCGCTCCAGCCCCTCCCCCCCCCCCCCTACCCGCCCCCCCCACCTTCCCTGCTCATCCGCGCATCCCATGCCTTCTCCATGCGCATCACACAACTCACACTCCGGAGTAGGAGCAGGGAAGGGCGGAGAGGAGTAGGAGCAGGGAAGGGCGGAGAGGAGTAGGAGCAGGGAAGGGCAGAGAGGAGTAGGTGCAGGGAAGGGCGGAGAGGAGTAGGAGCAGGGAAGGGCGTAGAGGAGTAGGAGCAGGGAAGGGCGTAGAGGAGTAGGAGCAAGGAAGGGAGGAGAGGGGTAGCAGCAGGGAAGGGAGGAGAGGAGTAGCATCAGGGAAGGGCGGAGGGGAGTAGCAGAAGGGAAGGGGAGGAGAGGAGTAGGAGCAGGGAAGGGAGGAGAGGAGTAGCAGCAGGGAAGGGAGGAGAGGAGTAGGAGGGGGGGAAGGGAGGAGAGGAGTAGGATGGGGGAAGAGAGGTGAGGAGTAGGAGGGGGGAAGGAAGGAGAGGAGCAGCAGCAGGGAAGGGAGGAGAGGAGCAGCAGTAGGGAAGGGAGGAGAGGAGCAGCAGCAGCGAAGGGAGGAGAGGAGCAACAGCAGGGAAGGGAGGAGATGAGTAGCAGCAGGGAGGGAGGAGAGGAGTATCATCAAGGAAGGGAGGAGAGGTGTAGCAGCAAGGAAGGGAAGAGAGGTGTAGCAGCAAGGAAGGGAGGAGAGGAGTAGCAGCAGGGAAGGGAGGAGAGGAGTAGCAGCAGGGAAGGGAGGAGAGGAGTAGCAGCAGGGAAGGGAGGAGAGGAGTAGCAGCAGGGAAGGGAGGAGATGAGCAGCAGTAGGGAAGGGATGAGAGGAGTAGCAGCAAGGAAGGGAGGAGAGGAGTAGCAGCATGGAAGGGGAGGAGAGGAGTAGCAGCCTGGAAGGGGAGGAGAGGAGTAGGAGCAGGGAAGGGCGGAGAGGAGTAGGAGGGGGGAAGGGAGGAGCATTTAACTTTCTCCGGAGTAGGAGCAGGGAAGGGCGGAGAGGAGTAGGAGCAGGGAAGGGCGTAGAGGAGTAGGAGCAGGGAAGGGAGGAGAGGAGTAGCAGCAGGGTTGGGAGGAGAGGAGTATCCCATACGCGCATCCCATGCCTCTCTATCTTCATCACAAAACCCACCCTCCCCTACTCGTCCGCACATCCCATGCCTTCTCCATGCGCATCACAAAACTCACCCTCCCCTACTCGTCCGCACATCCCATGCCTTCTCCATGCGCATCACAAAACTCACCCTCCCCTACTCGTCCGCACATCCCATGCCTTCTCCATGCGCATCACAAAACTCACCCTCCCATACTCATCCGCGCATCCCATGCCTTCTCCATGCGCATCACAAAACTCACCCTCCCCTACTCGACCGCACATCCCATGCCTTCTCCATGCGCATCACAAAACTCACCCTCCCCTACTCATCCGCGCATCCCATGCCTTCTCCATGCGCATCACAAAACTCATCCTCCCATACTCATCCGCGCATCCCATGCCTTCTCCATGCGCATCACAAAACTCACCCTCCCCTACTCGACCGCACATCCCATGCCTTCTCCATGCGCATCACATAACTCACCCTCCCCTACTCATCCGCGCATCCCATGCCTTCTCCATGCGCATCACAAAACTCATCCTCCCATACTCATCCGCGCATCCCATGCCTTCTCCATGCGCATCACAAAACTCACCCTCCCCTACTCATCCGCGCATCCCGTGTCTGTCCATGCGCAGCACACAACACCCCCTCTCCTACTCATCAGCGCATCCCATGCTTGTTCATGCGCGGCCCGTCCCACACCACTCCTCCCTTAATCCGTTAATTCACATACCGCTATGGCGTTTAACTGAATCGCAGCTGCCCAGGCCTCTGCCCAGGCCTCTGCTTCGGTCTCCGTGACCCACGCGTAGAGCTGCATGACCTGACTCATCAAACACCTGCGCATTGAGACGTACTGCTTGTTAACATCGGTTCCCAACAAGGGCGTTTCATATGCAGCACATATCTCACTTTCTTAATGGCCCATCAATGTCGACGTGAGTTGCATATGAGTCCGCATGCCACAGTACACACTTGATTGGGATAACGGATTCCAGCGCGGCCTTAATTTTGATGACAGCGAGGCTCCAGTGCGCGCTGCAATGCAATCGAGACGTCCAAAGTCGTTAGTTTGCAGCACATGTTTACGTGCAACACATATCCAAAAAGACCCGACCACTTACTCCTTGTTAATCGGAACAAGAACGTGCTTAAACGACAAGATGTCAAGTCCATAAGCCTGCCTAGTGATCCTCTTCGTCTCCGGGCGTGCTACGAGGGTCCAGAAATAAGGCGATGTGCAAAGCCACGACGCATTGTCGAGTCCGTACTCATAATGTAACATTCTGCATGATCTACATAAAAAATATGCAATGTCGGTGCAGCTCGTGAGAAACTATAAACAAGGATTAACACTTCAGATTGCCCTGTGTTCAAAATTGAGCTACTCACAATGAGAGCCACTCGATAACCTTGCCACTGATCCACTGCTCGTTTCCCAGCGTGCGGTAATCTGAGGGCTTGATTTCAAGAGATCCCCCAAACGGGGATGGCATGCT